AAAACGTAAATCAAATTTGAATTAAAGTCCCACTAGAAAGTGCCAAAGTTTATATAGAATGTTGATATGAAAACATTTCATAGTAGTTCAAAATCTATAGAGACAAACTTCATATGGTCAAGACTAAAACTGGTATGTTTACAAGTGTATTGCGAAATATACAGATCCAATTAACCAGTATGAATTAACAGGAAGACAACATTCAAAGAATTGCATGCATTTATTGCTTGTCTAGCCAACGTCTGAAGTATTGTTATCTTCAAACATTCGTCTCTTTCTGCAAAATAAATGCAGTAACTGGAAGCATCCACAACTTCGGTCTTCTTACATCTTTTCCAGGCAGTTCCATACTTAATTGTCTTACTTCTTCCAAGGAAAGTCTTTCAGGATTTTGCTTGCTATGGCAGTGGATATTCTTCAGCAGACTGATGTAAACCCTCGGGTCAATGGTTACACTGAACCTCCCTGAATCTGTTCCAGAACTGACGATGAAGAGATTTCTCGTGAAGGTTTCATTTTCAAATATTCCTTTCAACCATTTTTCGTGTGAGATCCTATAAAATTTGGGAATAAAGTCGTTATAACCCAAGCTAAAATTGTAAAACAAAATCACCGCTATTTTTTGCCTTCATTATTTTTTATATCAATAGTTCTGACGATTGCTGTAATATTGTGGATATGAAGCTTAACAGCAAATACAAACATGCTTCTTATTGTAGGTGTTCAATATGGTATCATAATTACTTGAAGACGGTGAATCTTACTGGCAATGAAACTGGTCTGATTGACCATTTCTTAACTATCAGCATTGACAATTATATCCTCAAGAAGAAGACGGAATGGAATGGATGTATTCAATTGCCATTTTTGTAAAGGATCATATCCCTTCATATTTAATGGATTATTTATGTTCTTTCCAAATGCTTTGTATACATAAATTATTTTATTATTTATTTTCTTTTTAATGTAAAGCTTTCTGAGTATATCAGTTTTATAATGCTTGTGAATATAGTTCTAACTTACACAGTGTAATACCTCTTGTATTATGATAAATGTATGTCAGTATTTCTAACTGACACAGTTTAATACCATGTTGAATTTCATCATCATGTCTTATGTTTAAAGTATGTCAGTAGTTCTAACGGACACAGTTTAATACCATGTTGTATTTCATCATCTTGTATTATGTTAAATGTATGTCAGTAGTTCTAACTGACACAGTTTAATACCATGTTGTATTTCATCATCTTGTATTATGTTAAATGTATGTCAGTAGTTCTAACAGACACAGTTTAATACCATGTTGTATTTCATCATCTTGTATTATGTTAATGTATGTCAGTAGTTCTAACAGACACAGTTTAATACCATGTTGTATTTTATCATCTTGTATTATGTTAAATGTATGTCAGTAGTTCTAACTGACACAGTTTAATACCATGTTGTATTTCATCATCTTGTATTATGTTAAATGTATGTCAGTAGTTCTAACTGAAACAGTTTAATACCATGTTGTATTTCATCATCTTGTATTATGTTAAATGTATGTCAGTAGTTCTAACTGACACAGTTTAATAAAATGTTGTATTTCATCATCTTGTATTATGTTTAATGTATGTCAGTTGTTCTGAGAGTTTAATACAATGTTGTATTTCATCATCTTGTGTTATGTTAAATGTATGTCAGTAGTTCTAACTGACACAGTTTAATACCATGTTGTATTTCATCATCTTGTATTATGTTAATGTATGTCAGTAGTTCTAACTGACACAGTTTAATACCATGTTGTATTTCATCATCTTGTATTATGTTAATGTATGTCAGTAGTTCTAACGGACACAGTTTAATACCATGTTGTATTTCATCATCTTGTGTTATGTTTAATGTATGTCAGTAGTTCTGGCAGTTTAATACAATGTTGTATTTCATCATCTTGTATTATGTTAAATGTATGTCAGTAGTTCAAACTGATACAGTTTAAAACCATGTTGTATTTCATCATCTTGTATTATGTTTAATATATATCAGTAGTTCTGACGGACACAGTTTAATACCATGTTGTATTTCATCATCTTGTATTATGTTTAATGTATGTCTGTTGTTCTGAGAGTTTAATACAATGTTGTATTTCATCATCTTGTGTTATGTTAAATGTATGTCAGTAGTTCTAACTGACACAGTTTAATACCATGTTGTATTTCATCATCTTGCATTATGTTAAATGTATGTCAGTAGTTCTAACTGACACAGTTTAATACCATGTTGTATTTCATCATCTTGTATTATGTTAATGTATGTCAGTAGTTCTAACGGACACAGTTTAATACCATGTTGTATTTCATCATCTTGTATTATGTTAATGTATGTCAGTTTTTCTGACGGACACAGTTTAATACCATGTTGTATTTCATCATCTTGTGTTATGTCAATGTATGTCAGTAGTTCTGGCAGTTTAATACCATGTTGCATTTCATCATCTTGTATTATGTTAAATGTATGTCAGTAGTTCTAACTGACACAGTTTAATACCATGTTGTATTTCATCATCTTGTATTATATTAATGTATGTCAGTAGCTCTAACGGACACAGTTTAATACCATGTTGTATTTCATCATCTTGTATTATGTTAAATGTATGTCAGTAGTTCAAACTGACACAGTTTAATACCATGTTGTATTTCATCATCTTGTATTATATTAATGTATGTCAGTAGCTCTAACGGACACAGTTTAATACCATGTTGTATTTCATCATCTTGTATTATGTTTAATATATGTTAGTAGTTCTGACTGACACAGTTTAATACCATGTTGTATTTCATCATCTTGTATTATGTTTAATGTATGTCTGTTGTTCTGAGAGTTTAATACAATGTTGTATTTCATCATCTTGTGTTATGTTAAATGTATGTCAATAGTTCTAACTGACACAGTTTTATACCATGCTGTATTTCATCATCTTGTATTATGTTAATGTATGTCAGTAGTTCTAACGGACACAGTTTAATACCATGTTGTATTTCATCATCATGTATTATGTTAATGCATGTCAGTAGTTCTGACGGATACAGTTTAATACCATGTTGTATTTCATCATCTTGTGTTATATTAATGTATGACAGTAGTTCTGGCAGTTTAATACCATGTTGCATTTCATCATCTTGTATTATGTTAAATGTATGTCAGTAGTTCAAACTGACACAGTTTAATACCATGTTGTATTTCATCATCTTGTATTATATTAATGTATGTCAGTAGCTCTAACGGACACAGTTTAATACCATGTTGTATTTCATCATCTTGTATTATGTTTAATATATGTCAGTAGTTCTGACGGACACAGTTTAATACCATGTTGTATTTCATCATCTTGTATTATGTTTAATGTATGTCTGTTGTTCTGAGAGTTTAATACAATGTTGTATTTCATCATCTTGTGTTATGTTAAATGTATGTCAGTAGTTCTAACTGACACAGTTTAATACCATGTTGTTTTTCATCATCTTGTATTATGTTAAATGTATGTCAGTAGTTCTAACTGACACAGTTTAATACCATGTTGTATTTCATCATCTTGTATTATGTTAATGTATGTCAGTAGTTCTAACGGACACAGTTTAATACCATGTTGTATTTCATCATCTTGTATTATGTTAATGTATGTCAGTAGTTCTGACGGACACAGTTTAATACCATGTTGTATTTCATCATCTTGTGTTATATTAATGTATGTCAGTAGTTCTGGCAGTTTAATACCATGTTGTATTTCATCATCTTGTATTATATTAATGTATGTCAGTAGTTCTAACAGACACAGTTTAATACCATGTTGCATTTCATCATCTTGTATTATGTTAAATGTATGTCAGTAGTTCTAACTGACACAGTTTAATACCATGTTGTATTTCATCCTCCGATGCTGACACATATTGATCATTAATGACAGTTTCTTGCCTGGTGTGGCGAGTAGACTTGAGTCTTGCTCAGCCGACCTTGATGGGGTCATTCTCCAGCTAAATTTTTGAAGAAAACATTTGGGGAAATATCAACGAATGATTACAAACTGCTTAATAATATTCTTGGACAGAAATAATTATTTAAAATTATAGTGAATTCAGACAATATCATCTTGAATTATAGTGTTGTGATTAATTGGAAGACTGTTAACACATCATTACACTTCAGCCATTATCATATTCAAGACAAGATGCACATCAACACTTTCAGAGCTAAATCTTATTTCGAATACCACTGGAATTTAATTAGAAATTTGTTTGTATGTATGTGCGTGTAATGGATGTTTGCATATATATATATATATATATATATATATATATATATATATATATATATATATATAGAGAGAGAGAGAGAGAGAGAGAGAGAGAGAGAGAGAGAGAGAGAGAGAGAGAGAGAGAGAGAGAATTGCAATTGAATGTATTTATCTGAACTATCAAGCAAAACTTTCAGTTCAAAAATGTAAAATAAAAACAAAATTCTAAAGTCGAGATTGGTCTGTGGAATTTCAAAATTAATTTTAGTTTCAGAAATGGTTAACCTTGATGTTTCTTTGTCTGCAATCCGCTTTTGACCAATTCAGTGCCATTCACTCTCGTTACGATAATTTGTACCAAATTATTAAGATGAATTTATTTGTTTTGCAGTCATATGTCTGAAAACTGCCGCTCCATCCTAATGCAAAAATTGTTTTCGGTTTCCCTTACATACTGACATTTTGACTACACAGATAACATTTTGTAAATCACGTGGAAACTTTAATTCTCTAGTTCCTATCTTTTCTGAAGTCTTTTACAAAGTATGAATTGGTAAGCAAGATAAATGAAGAGGTATGTCTTTTCGTGTTGTCTTGCATGAAAGTAATTATTTTGTTTTGGTATTTGTTCGTCTTTACCGTATTTCTAACTCTTTATTGGCTATCGCATGATAAGAAAATAAAAGCCATATGCTTTTCCCAAGGACACAGTAAGATAACTAATCCTTGCTTAGTATGGGCTTGTACACAACTTGAACCCGCGACCCTTGGATTACGAGTCTCAATGCTATTCCAACTGAGCTACCGCAGCTCCTGACGACTAGGAAAGAGCAGTTATCATAAGATTAATTTGATTGTAAAGACGAGGGCCTTAGACCCGTCGATCACCCGGGGCCATCTCAAAGGGACATACATTTTATTTTAAAAATGACCTATATTTTCTAAACTATCTCCTAGATTTACCAAAATAAACTTGAAAAGCTCTTGTGAAATTTAGAAGGAACAAACCTGGATTACCGATAAAATAGTGTTAGGTAGAGTGGAAGTAAAGGTGCTTTATGATCAAATGAACACTGAAATTATTTACTGTCTTTGCTAGGGGCTCTGAGCGGCCGAGTGGTCTGAAGCGCCCTCCGTAACGGATCACTGCCATCTCACCTCTGTCTGCGTGGGTTCGAGTCTAAGATTCGGTGAATGTGGATATGCGAGAAAGTTTGTCAGTAGCTTCTCTTGGGTCGGTGTTTTTTTTTTTCCGCGGATTTTCCGGTTTCTTCCTCCACCATTAACACTGGCCGCCATGTATTGCCCATTGTGCGCTGAGAAATGGCGTTAAGCCCCAGGACAACAACAACAACAACTTTCTTTGCTCACATGCATTCCACGTGTCACGTGCATGTAACAATTATAACAAGGCTTCACCTATATTGTTTCATTACCATCTTGCCTTAGACTCAACTTAAGACTTTCTTACCCTGTTTGTATTGTCTTGTACCACGTGGTTTTAGCAGTCACGCCCTTTCTCTTCTGAGTTTGTGACGCAGATTGGTGATGAATATCACTGTCAATTTAAATGTGAATTTTTCGACCAAGTGTGAAAGGGTTTATAAGTTCACCAATATCTTGATTATATCTTTACAGTCCAAGAAAATCTCTCAATTGTTGGAGCTGCTTTGTTCCTGTATTTTTTTTTTATGATGCCGTATCGGCGACTTGAGAGTAAATGAACGTTGTTATTTTACCTTTGTCGAGATTTCCTAAAACAAAAAACGACGGAAAAACATTCACATCTGTGCGTCAAAGCCGACAGGAGCCAAATATTGTTCAAGGCTATTGTTTGTCGCGAACAGGCCACTGGGGGTGGGGTGGGGGTCAGAGTATCATTACAATTCCTACATTTACATACATTTCTCCAAGCTATTTTCAGATCACAATAGGTTTCCATCACGGATTACTGTGTCAATATAGACCAATGCACATAACATAACCTAGCAACACCTGTCCAAGTCTGGTACTTTTAGCAACTGATCAACATTTACTTGGGGCAAAGGTTATATTTCCAAGTCAGTGAAAACATGTTATGATCGTGTTACACACTGACATTTTCAGGTGAACTTCAGTTACATTACTTGTACTACCACAATGAAGTGCATTCTTTTAGACGTACCCAAAGGTAAAACTCGGTTCCTTTCTTTTCAAGTATCTCACAGTGTAAAACTCGGTTCGTTTCAGGAATATCTCACAGTGAAGGACATCCGAACAAAACATCTAAATTAGATACGAACTACTTCATTACTCGAATGGCTTTTATCATTGTCTAACTTTTGTTAGAATAATGCAGTGAGTCCATCTTCCCTAGCCAAGATTACGATAATCCTATCTGCACCTTGGCGGATCGAACAGCTATACTGGTGCTTAGTTCTAGCGACATAGACAATGAGACAATTAATTTTACTATATATTCTCTACATTTGTTTCTCAGTACTGAACTTTCCACTGTGTGACAATACATATCATATATATCATATGTTAATTTAAAATACATTCAAAGATGACTTCACTGTGAAGTTCTTGTCAAGGGTTGACCTGCATTTTTTGAGAGGCTGGATTGTAAACAAAGCACTATGCAATGGAACACAGAGTTCGCTTCCAGGTCAACACCTAGTTCTTATTACTCACTGTGCACTGTCGCCGAAATACAGACAAACAACCACGCGATAAGCTCATATTCTGAAAAATGAACAATTACATTTAAATCCCTACCAAAAATGGCTTGCCATTTCTGGTATATTTGAGTGAAAGGTATCTGTGCAAACAGGGAGCGGCACTGTAATAGTGCTTATTTATCAGTTCATTGAAGTTGTGTACTCCCCTTATCTTGATCACGTAGAAACGGTGTTCAAATTTAGACAACTTAATTTTGATTGGATGCGGTGGCTCGATATGCCAAGATGGTATATAGGGTAATTGAAACCTTGGCTAACGAAGATATCAGTTCGAGCTCGGTACCACGAAAAATGTTGTGCCGCAGTATACCGCGGCATTTCTAGACATATCGCTTACGTACTACGATATACCGCAATTACATTAGGAACCAACAATTTTATATTCTGAGTCAGGAGTGTGCGACTTGTTTTAATTCCATATCTCAATAGCTGTAATAGTATCTTGATATGATTTATAGCCTATAGAAAAACATCACAGTATATACCACAGTATATCCATTGTACTATGTGAAAAAGTTAACTTCAGATAAAAAAAAAAGAAATATCTTAGCTCAAAAGAAAATCGAAGCACGCACCACTCCATGAAAATTAAATTCCCAGTACCTTATAGTAAATGAATTTGCTGTGCGTACGTTAATTGTTGAAGAAGTTTTATTAAATTTGATAAGTAAGCTTTACAAGAGCTGACACCCTTTGGAAATGCTGACATTCGTGACCTTGTTGATAAAAACAAGAAGCGTACAATTTACTAGCTACGCTATGGATATAATAGGCAGGGAAACTTTGAATGGGATGCCAACACTCGGGCAAGATATTTATTATAGTGCGACGGTAAACATAACTCACCCAGCAAACAAGAAAATACTTAGTTTACCTAACAAACAAAAACAGACCATTCTCCTGAAAGGCCTGGATGATTCTCAGCAGCGGAATACATGTACTCAACACATATATTTGCATTAGTAAATAGCTAAACAGAACTACTCATTTTATTCGAAATATTGGATGATTTTTAACAGCAGAATACATGTACTCAACACGTATATTTGCATTAGTAAATAGCTAAACAGAACCACTCATTTTATTCGAAGTATTGTTTGATTCTTAACAGCAGAATACATGTACTCAACGCATATATTTGCATTAGTAAATAGCTAAATAGAACCACTCATTTTATTCCAAATATTTTTCAAAAGTTGGATTTGTCCCGAATGTATTCCACAACATGCTATTCGTCAATCACGTTAGCAAACTTGAAACCTCAAATATGCAATTAAAAATTCATAAATATAACTATATTTGTAACATTAAAAATTAATTTGATACAAATTATAACTATTCTGTAAATAAAATGTTTATTTTACTCGATTATTTTTAAATAATTAAAAGATACTATTAATATCGGTCAATAACAAGATTACTTGGGTATTTCCGTACAATTCCTACTGACGGAAGCTATGGAAGTTACAGTGCGGTGAAAAAGAGCCCATTCTTTTACAATGACAGTTTCAATATTAGCTTCATTTAAAAGGGCAATCATTTCAAAATAGAACGGAAATAAACACGTAAAAGAATTTATGCCATTAACAAGGTTATTTTAAACATAATGCAAAAGATGAAAAAAATGCCGTTTGTTTTAAACAAATTGAAAACAGAAGTAATTTTAATTTATCTTTGAATTAAAATTAAAAATTGTAACTTTCATATTTATCTTTTGAAAAACTTTTAAAACGTAATTTTATGAACCATGTGCAAGAAAAGTATGTCAAGTCACCTAAACAACAGATTGCATAGTCTATGTTGCAGAGAACTAAATAAATAAATACTTGCGATCAAACGAGGTGTGGTCAAATCAGGTGTGAATTGGACACTGGAATCGTGATCACCCTTCTCCACATAATAGACAATCACTCCTCATGATAGAAAATCACTCCATATGATAATCAATCACTCCACATGACATGCAATGACTCCACATATAGACAATCACTCCACATGGTAGGCAATCACTCCACATAATAGGCAATCACTCCACATAATAGGCAATCACTCCACATGATAAACAATCACTCCACATAGTTGGCAATCACGCCCATAATAGGCAATCCCTCCACACAATAGGCAATAACTTCATATGATAGGCAATCACTCCACTTGATAGGCAATCACTTCAAATTATATGCAATCACTCCACAAAATAGGCAGTCTCTCCGCATAATGGGCCATCACTCCACACGATATGCAATCACTCCACATGATTTGCAATCACTCAAGATGATAGGCAAACACTCCGCATAATAGGCAATCACTCCAAATAATAGACAATCCCTCCACATAATAGGCAATCACTCCACATAATAGGCAATCACTCCACATGATATTCAATCACTCCACATAATAGACAATCACTCCACATGATATTCAATCACTTCACATAATAGGCAATTACTCCATATGATAATCAATCACTCCATATGATATCCAATCACTCCACATAATAGGCAATCACTCCACATCATAGGCAATCACTCCATATGATAGGCAAACACTCCGTATAATAGGCAATCACTCAACATGATAGACAATCACTCTACATAATAGGCAATCACTCCACATAATAGGCAATCACTCCATATGATAATCAATCACTCCACATGATAAACAATCACTCTTGATAATTGGCAATCACGCCCATAATAGGAAATACCTCCACAAAATAGACAATAATTTTCTGTGATAGGCAAACGCTCCAAATGATAGGTAATCACTCCGTATACTAGGCAATCACTCCACATGATAGGCAAAAATCATCACTCCATTTGATAGGCAATCACTTCACATAATAGGCAATCACTCCACATGATAGGCAGTCACTCCACGTGATAGGCAATCACTCCACATAATAGTCAATCACTTCATATGATAGGCAATATTTCCAAATAATAGGCAATCAATCAACATGATAGGCATTCACTTCACATGATAGGTAATCACTCCACATAATAGGCAATCACTCCACATAATAAGCAATCACTTCACATGAAAGGCAATCACTCCACATGATAGGCAGTCACTTGAATTCATACGT